AAACTGTCAGTGATGGAGAATTCCAGAAATGAGGGCCTACTGAGAACCCGCAATCCTAGTCCCACAAATCCAGTGGCTCTTAACTTGAGCATCCCAGGAGATCCCAGTTGCCAGGTTGAAGTGTGTGCATGTGCGGTTGCTGTTTTCTAGTAGCCTGAACCCGAAATCATAGAGTAGTTTGTACATTAAACTAGCACTTTGAATTAAACCTGTCAACCACTTACTGTAATATAATATTCCAAGTATTCTATCAGAGCCTTTATCAGCTTTATTGCTATATGAATTCAACATTTGAGAGCAGCATTTGAAAAACTAACTTTGCTAACAATATTCTCCCTTCTGCAGGTACATAGGATTCATTTCCTGTGTTCATGCTATCTTTCCAGCTATATTGGAGGAGGTACAGGAGATGAGAAAAGCATTTTAGACTAGTTTGTGTCTAGCCCTTCCAGATCGTACTGAAGAAACCTGATCCTTACCTCATGTTTTATAGATTCTGACTAAATTGAAAATCTTATTGCTGATATAAAAATCTTATCAGCACTGCACTATTGTTTGACTCGCATTTGCAGCTGAACATCTACTTTGTTTCTTGTACTATTTTTTTCATTGATGTACATCCAGAATATTCGTATCAAATAATTTGAAACCTAAACCATGAATCCTACTTTCCTAAAAATGTCAAATATGACTTACAGTGGCACAGAATGTGAAGCTGAGATTGCTTCATATAATAAAACTGTTTTATACAGCATTTTTATACAAACTATCTCAGAAGGCTTTATGGGGGTAAATAATATTAGAGAGAGAGAGAGCAGACTTTCTCTCTTTTAATAGGGAGAAAAGACGTTTTCTTCTGAGATTGAAATAACATGGCAAATCCGAGATGGAGCAGACTGCAAGAGCAGTTTAAAAAATTAAAGGCTGCTCCCCCCCCCCCAGAGTCTGTAAGATTGTGAGATGAGATAGAAGGGAAGTAAGGGCAATAAAAAGGTAGTCCATGAGCTGAAACAACTCTGCTGAAGGTTTTACATTTCTGGACCCAGTGACCCCCTTTTTATGTCCAAGATAAGGGCTGGGTGCTGGAGGGAGAATGCCTGGAAAGCCAGCTTTTAGAATACTTGATTTAACATATCTTTGTTTTTTCAGATCGTCTCCTCGGTACTCAACTAGTTACTATGAGCTTGATACAGAGTGACAACAGCTATAGAGCCAGAGATCTGGAGACTGGCTGCTGTGCAGCCATGGCCAGTGCGTGCAGTGCTGGAGCTAAAGAAGACAGCATAGGTGTGTCTGTCAGCAGTGGGACTGGAAACCTTCCCAACTCCTTCACGGAGGAGACTCAAGGATATGACGTGGAGTTTGATCCCCCGCTGGAAAGTAAATATGAATGTCCAATCTGTTTGATGGCTCTACGGGAAGCAGTGCAGACGCCATGCGGACACCGGTTTTGCAAAGGCTGCATTGTCAAATCAATAAGGTAAAGGAGTGCTCATGGGAATTGATTTTAGGAAGAATGTTGACCTGAGTGTAGCAGCTTTCTGGCAACATAACTTAGTGCAACCTGTGAGGACAAATTATATATATCTTATTGTTGCTATATTTTCAATGTGTTATGTCTTAGCACATCTTTAAAGATGCTATATTACGGATGGTCTAGTTAGCAATGCCTATAGTTAATGTTGCCCCATTATAAGACCCTATTTTTAGTTGCTTATATCTTTGCCAGACTTCACCTGTTCAGGCTGAAATTTTCCATATTTGGTGTCTGCCTCAGAATGAAGTTTTTGGAAACTTCCAGTAAAAACAATTCAGCTGTTTCTCAGAACAAGGTTAGGGGGAAAATAAGATGTTTAGGCCATGAGCTCCAGAATTTGTTGAGAAGCTCTAGAGCCTCCTTGCCTTGGAGCAGGGACTTGAAGTTTGGCACAGAGGTCACCCTGGAGTCAGGGATGTGCTTTTTGCCATCCCTGTGAACATTTGCTCATCTTTGACCAAGTTATGAGCTTCTGAAAATCTGTTTGTACGAGCTCAATAGAAACTTCTTTGGCAAGTAAATTCTCTGATTTCATCTGCGTTATGCATGCTGTGAGGCTGAGTAGGACTTGCAGTTCCTTCCTATAGCCAGGGGCCACTGTGACACCAGGTACAGCAATTGAGCAGGGAGATTACTTTGCTTTCAGTGCCCGACCCCTCCCACCCAACACTGGTACCCAGGCAGTGAGGAGGAGGAGGAGAAGGATGCTGCCTGCCTGGAATGCAGAGGGATAAGGGGGGAGTGGTGAGAAAACAGGCTGGGACAAAGCCTGGGGGATTTAGGTGACGAGCTAGGGGGTGGGAAGGACTGGAACAGAAGCAGGCTGGGGCTGGGGGCAGGGAGTAGGGCAGAGGAGTCTCTCTATTAGAATACACTTGCCTCAGAACCTGTAATAGAACTCAGAATTCCTGAGTCTCAGTATTCCTCTGTCAGCTAGTAACTGTGGAACTCTCACTTCCGGGGTACAGTCCAGACCAATGAGAAGTTGTCACTGCTTTCCCTGCAACCTTGGGTGCCTCACAGTGCTTTGCTGGGCTGCTCAGAAACAGCCTACCAGCATGCAGGTCACACGCTGAGTGTCTGTACAGCCCTGACGCAGCAACTCTGACCCCAGCAGCCAGTCAGCAACACACCAGCCACACTCTGGTTTCCAGAAGCCTTGGTTACTACGTGCTGGGTGACCCCAACACACTCCCAGTCCAAAATTTTCCCTCAAAACCTGTGTTCTGCACTGTACAGCCCTCTCCTGAACAGTTCAGATATTGGAGGTCCGTTGCCCATGTGACGGGTCAATAGTCAACATATGGCTACTTTAACTGAAGTTACCAAACAGCTCAGTTGAAACACGACATTGGATTAGTTTAGATTGTGGCTAAATAAATTTGTTTTATTTTTAAAGAGAGATTTTAAGTGAGTACAAATATGAGGTATTAAAGTCAGAAATGATTACAAGAGAAATAAAGATAAAACGCTTTCTGATAGCTAAAACTTAACAAGCTAGACTTGGTTCAAGGTAAAATCCTTACCGTTATGTTCCCAACAACATTGCTGACCAAATTCTCGGGTCAGGATCTACCCCAAAGTCCAGGGGCTAGTTCCTTTGTCATCTTAGGTAAAAGAGAGAGATAGGGAGAGATGCCTTGGGGTGTTTTTGCCCCTCAGTTTTGTAGTCCAGCCACCCTTTTGAATTGGATTCTTCTGAGGATTACCCATCAAAGCAAAGTTTATTCAAACAGTAAAGAAGGCAACATTGAGGCTGATGGTGAAGGTGGCTGCATGCTCTTTCTTCTCCCCTATGTATGCTTGTCTCCTGCCATTTCCCCTTCTAGCTGGCTCAGGGACCCTGTTTACTACTTGAATGTGTATTTACCTGAATTTACATATCTTTGTTTAGGATAGACCTGCGTAACAACTTTTGCCTAGTCAGGGCTGTGAGAGTTTGAACATGTGCTAACACCATCACACAGGAGGAATTCATAACTTTACATATAATGTTGCTACATACATTTCACAATATTCTTGAGCAACAAGTAATTAGTTTTCAAACGATATCTCACAAGGTGTGTAGGGTGTGAACACAGTGTATAGGCTGTGAACATAGGGGTGCTTTTGGTCACAGGAACCCATTAGCAAAATGTGCCCATCCTACATAGAGGATGACAAACTACTACTGCTCTCTGCCACCAAGCAAAGTGAGTAGCTGAGATCCTTGCTGTGAATCAGCAGGGTTAGTATCTTTTGGATGACCCATGTAAAAATCAGTGGGCTTCCACCTGATAGAATTTGTGGGGTTTTTTAGTTTTTTAAAAAAAACTATGAAATAACATCCATAAAAACTACATTAAAATGCTAAGTCTGCAAAGTCAAGCACTCAGTTAGTAAATGCCAGAATTAAGATTGCCTGTGCCACCTTAATTTGTCACCCTCGTGTGCACGCATTATGATACAGTCTTTAATTACATGATCACATACTGTCTTTCCCGCAGGTTCCCTGCCCCATTCTGTGCATGGGATAGACAATGCTCATGGAATTAATCAGTTGTGTTGCAATATGAGGCTGTTGTCTGGCCTCACTCCTTGTAGAAGTTGGAAGGTGTGTAGTGAATGGGACGGGGGATTACAGGGAGAGAAAGGATGGTCTCATGGCTTAGGCAGTTGAAGGCTGCCCTTGAGACTTGGATTCTATCGCTATCTCTGCCAGAGTTCCTATGTGACAGTGGGCAAGTTACTTAAACCAAACTTTTCACAGGTGGCCACTGACTGTTCCTCATTTTCTGGATGCCTGACTTGAGACCCTGGGATCTGATTTGCAAGAATACTGAATGCTCGCAGCTGCAACTGAAGTCCGTTGTATTTGTATTTGAATGTGTAAAGTGCCAAGTACTCTGAAAAAATCAGATCCTAGTCACTTTTCAAACTTGGCACCCAAAATTAGTGGATACTTTTTGATTTGTTATGAAGATAGATGCATTAATGTTTGTGAAGCACTCGTACTATAGTGATGATAGCCATAGAAAAGCCATGAAGAATTTAATTCTGTATTCATAACAGGACTTGAATGGTGAGCAGTAAACAAGTATAAAATGAAATATTGAATAGCTGCTCATTAAATGAGCACAGACAGTCCTGTGCACTGAATAAGGCAGGGACTTATGGATGTGCGGGAGCGGGGACTATATGACCATGTAATTAAAGACTGTTTTATAATGCACAGTTGCATAGATAACCTTAATTCTAATACTTGCTTTTTTTTCATAGATCCCAAGGCCAGAAGGGACCGTTGTGATCATCTAGTCTGACTTCCTGCATAATTTAGACCATAGACTTTCCCCCAAAATAATTTCTAGAGCATAGCTTTTAGAAAAACATCCAGTCTTGATTGTAAAATTGCCAGTGATGGATGGAAAATCCTCCCTGACCTTTGGTAAATTGTCCCAAGGGTTAATTACCTTCACTGTCAATAATTTACGCCTTACTTCTTTTGCTTTTGGGTGCATGAGTTTGCAATCTTAATTTTCTTAATGTAGTTCTTGTGTGCAATTTATATATAGTATACAATTCACACTAGAACTGAGTTTGTTATCCAATACATACCTGGATAACTTACAAGTCTTCGATACCAGGCTTGTAAGTACTTTTACATGAATGTAGGCTAGTCCACTGGGAGTCAGGACTCCAGGATCTATTTCTGCCTGACTTCCTGTGTGCAGTAGCCCCAGCACATACCCTCTGCTTAAACTAATCTTAGGATTTTATGAATAAGTTTGCACAAGAAATCAAAACACTCAAAGGGGATGTAGTATCTGTTGATCTTGCAAGCAGATCACCTAGATACTAAGGTGTATATGGAGCTTTAGAAATGCCTTAGTCTCCCAACCACTTCAAGGAAAAACAACTTCACTGATTAAAAAGGCAGAATTTTTTAATTAAAATTTTCTGTCAGTGGAGTTTTGTCATGGATACACAAGAGCTCTGCTATGTCCCAGCTTTTAAACAGGACCTTGGAGGAACCACTGTGTGTCAGATCCTCGAGAGGTCCCACTCTTGAGGGTAGGCCACATGGACTCAGCACTGCTGTTTCACATTGTGAGCTCTGCTCAGTGAATCCAACAGAGAGACTTCTGCTCAGAATTTTACACTCTTCAGGGACCAGTGCACCTCAGCAAGTATTTGCAGTGACATCTGGCAGGCTTTCAAAACAGAGTCGGATTTATTAGTCAGCTGGAACTCAGCATGAGGAAGTCCTTAGGTTAGCATAGAGAAATAAAGGTTAAAACATAGGCCATTCTGATCAAGTCAGCTTTCCATCTGGCCAAGCTGCTGTGGAATCTGCTTCTGGCTCTGGGTGGCTCTGTCTCATGGTCATTCCCAGGTGAGAGCTGCTGAACCCGTCCCAAAAGCCAACTCTTATCCAGAGCTTGTTAGCCCACGTTGAGTTTACAAGCTCTGCCTGCCAGAGATTCCCATAAGTGTCAGTTGCTTAGTCCTTGAGGCTTCCATTGTGTTTCCATTCTCCATTGATATAGGTTCGTTTCAGCCAGTCCATTCATTCCACCCCAGACAGCTAGGTGACCCAACACCTCATGTGTTTAACCCTTTTGTATCCCCAGATAATGATGCAAAATACATACTGAAACTGAGGTGTGCATAGGAATCATAAAAATATTACAGAAACTCTCACCAAGTGAGAATGTTCTTCATATTCACTTTACTTTGGGATCCTTACATACCTAAAACTGTGTTGTTTTCCAATCCTTCTACTCTTGAGGTGCTTTTGTAGTCTGCCACTTAATGACTGTACCCCAAATTCTGTTTCTTAATAGGTGCTTGCCATCATATTGCTTAATGTGGAACTAGGGGAAATAAGATGTTCAAAAGAAAACACATTTACTGGCAGGTGGAGAAACTTCCATTCTAAACCACAGTGCATGGGAATTGGTTTCTCTTCCTTGTAGCGACAGTGCAGTTGCTCAGTATAAAGTGACACCTATTTGACCTGTAAGAGGGTACTAATAACAAAAGGCTTTTATTTCACAGAAAAGGAAATTCCTACTTCTGTCTCCTTTCATTTCAGCACTGACTGTTTCGGTAAATACCAAACAGAGGTGCCACATCTTTTTAGATCTGGGAAACTGCAGATCATCCCCATAATATTTTGAGTGTTATCAGTAATCCCTTTCTGGTGCATTGCTATTGAAGTTTGTCTCTGCAGTGTGGTTTGAGTGGGGAGTAGTGATAGTGAAAATAGGGGATTTGCAGTGCAAGTGTCAAACATTTGGAGGACAGGGCTGAATTCCATGCTTAATTGTGGCCCATCAGTCAAGGTATTAATTCAGGGTGCATTCTTTCCACAGTACACGGTTTACTGATATCAACAGGAGGCTCCCACAGAGATCAATGGAAGAACTGACTTTTATGTAGTAACTGTTTAGTTATTTGTTCAGTATGTGATTGTCACAGTCATTAGTGGGAAAATCTGTTCCCCTTTAAGCCATCTCTACTTCTGTCTTGTCCTTCCCCATCTCTGTTTTTCCCTTTTCCATGCATCTGAGTTAATGTTGATACTGAAGTGCCATCGTTGGGCTTTAGAATTAATACTCTAATCCAATTAGTAAAGGGCAGAGGAGTTCAGATCTCAGTGCATTGTTTCAAACTTTCTGCAGACTTGGGAAGATGTTACTGCTTTGGTTACATTTAGTTCACATTTAGAAAACTATCTCTGCATCCAGGGCTAGAAGCTTTTTAAAAATGAACTTTAGATTACATCATGTAGGCTACAAATACATCATGTGGGTTGGATCGCAGTAAATTACATTGCTTCTCAGAAAGTGTTGTCTTTTTTGTAAGTAAAGCCTTAGAAAACACTTTTAGGTACTATTAAGGGATGGATTATTTGACCTACAGTAGCAGAGAAAATGGCTTCTTTAGGTGACTGTTAGTGTGTGTTTCCACACTAGAGCTATTAGCTTTTATTTTTACTTCTAAAATTTGCTAACCAAAAACAATCTGTAAGCACCAATATAATACTTAAAAAATATAACGTGACTCCAGTTTTCTGTCTCTTATAATCTCATCAGGACAAAACTTACGTAGCACTTGAGGAGTTTTCTGACATTTGATATATGATACATCTGATGGACCAACAGAAATGAGTGGCTTGAGTTCTATAGTCAAATGCCCCTCACTGGAAAAACACTGTGCCTCCACTTTCCCTCCCGTTTCAGTTTGGGGGACCATAAGCAGAAGCACTTTGGCTGATTATACGTGCTGTGATACTACAGGAAAAGAGAGGCCATCTCTGAAACAGCCACTACAGCTGGTTGAAAAACTGCCAGCAAAAGCAGCAAATAACGACTAATAATTTGCAACAATCTGTAGAGCTGCACAGTAGGAAAAAAGATATCTGCAAATAATGCATTCAGCAGCTGAAAGGAAAAACTAATCAAATGGCTTGCAAATATTTGACTAGCAGTAGAAGCTAGGGGTCATGCCATATAGTTTTTATTTAAAGGGGAAAATAACAAAGGGGATTTTGGATTCAGCAAACCAAAGCTGCCAAGCCTATAGGTGTTCCAGTGCAACATCATTGCTCACGTTGTCCAAGAACCCATCCACAAAACATCTGGAACACAGGATTAAAGTGTTCTTGCACATCCTTAATATGGAACTGTACTTCAAGGGACATGCCTACCTTGGTCAGTGCATCCATCCATATTATCCAATCTGGAGCTATAGTAGCAATAGTCGTAAAATCTCTTTAGAAGCTAATCTAAAACTCCTCAAGGAATCTGAATGTGTAATACACACAATGCTTCTACTTTTTACCAGTGACGTTTAAAACACTGAAGAGTTTTAAAAATGTTTTTAACTCAGTAACTTCACTGAAAATCCTAACGTTTCAATTACTACTGTAGGTGAGGGGCCTGCCTGCCTGTGGTGTTAGGAGAACCATTGTCAAGGAAGTCTGTGACCCAACCAGAATGTTACTGGGGCTTAAAAGAAAAAAAATCTTAAACAGGCTACTCTCTTAAATAGCAGGCTGAGGATGAAGTAAATCTTACCTTTTCTCTTTTTCAGGTTTCTCCAATTAACTTTTGCCATTGAGTATCTTACTGAGCTTTCCCTAGTAGCAATGGCTATTTAGGCTAGTTCACTTTCTGTCTTCCTCCTGTAAGCTTCCTGCCTCTTTCCCAATCTAAATATTCATTGATAGGCATGTGTAAGATACAATCAGAATAAAGCAATTATGTACAGAGTCACCATTACACTTCTCAGTTAAGCTGCTAAGACATGCAAAGGTTTGTTGAGCAATTTTTAGAGGCTAGATGGTGCTGTGGCTTTGGATTTAGATCGCTAGTGAATATAATATTCTCAATGTACTTGCTAGTAGATTCTTGTCCATATCACAAGAACCACTCGTTGTGGCACAACTTACCACGATTCTCAGTCATTGTTCAGGAAAGCATAGGCGCTGAATCTGTGGGTACTCTGGGGCTAGAGCACCCATGGAAAAAAACAATAATGGGTACTCGGCACCCACTGGCAGCCCCACTGATCAGCTCCTCCCCGCCCCACAGCACCTCCTGCCCATTGGTGGGCCCCAGCTCCTCCCGCTCCCCACCCCCCAGCACCTCCTGCCCACTGGTGGGCCCCAGCGCCTCCCACCCACCAGTGATCATCTGTTGAACAGTGTGCAGGAGGTATTGGGTGAGGAGGAGCAGGCAGAGGCCGGGGAGGGGGCGGGAAGAGGCAGGGTGGAGGCTTGGGGGAAGAGGTGGAGTGGGGGCAGAGCCAGGGGTTGAGCACCCCCAGGGAACTCAAAGTCAGTGTCTCTGCAGGAAAGCCCCCAATCTGGAATAACAAGCAGTGCAAATTGGTACTGGGGTGCATATATTGAAGTGTGTATAGCGTCTTTCCACACTAAGCCTGGCTCTAACCAGTCTTGATGTCACATTCACAAACACTTAACTGCATCACATTCACAAATACATTAAAATATTTGTTGTAAACAATGACTATAAAGTAATATATAAATGCCAATTAATTAGCTAATCCTTATCCCATCACTGTAAAGGGGTGGGTGGGTGTTATCCCCATTTTAGAGCTGAGGCAATTCCCATTCCCCTAGCCATGAAAAATTGCTGATTTTTATTTAATGTGGTCCAGCTGCTAACTATAAACTTAATTATAAGCAGGAAGTTTGTAATGCATTACACTACATTATACCACATTATACCTGTAACAACCAGCTTCCGGTTGTAGGTTGTAAGTAGAATGAATGTTTATGTATTGTGACACTGAGAGCAATGTTTGGACTGGGGAGCTATGAGAGCTGAAACTGCAGACCACTGCTTTGTTTTTTCTGTTTAGGAGTGAGATTCTTGTGGCAAACCATCTCCTGAAAGCAAAACCATAAAAAGGAAGGTCATGGACTCTTTATAAAGTCTAAACTTACCTCCCTTTTCTGTAGAAGTAATGCTAACAAAGTAGGTGCTGGCCAAAGATTTCCTTGTCAAATGAACACCACTATTTATCTACCTCTTCTCCCCCCCCCCCCCCCAAATCCAATGATCTTTGAACCGCAAAGGCCCTTTGACTCACAACCCACTCAGAGTATTGTTAATCCACGTTTTTTCACACTCGCAGTATTGGCCATTAGCACCACAATTCAGAATTCTTCTGTTTAACTATATTACTTAACCTTGCACATTCCCATATGAATGTGTTGGTTCGCACCTGAAGGCAACAGGTATCAGGTAATCTCTGCTGTTCCAGACAAAAATTGGGGAATGGGGGTCAGTATGGGTGGATAGCTATTTGAATGGCATTAGATAGTGGCTTTTTTTTTAAAACGTCCTGTGCATATATGAGTGTAAAACAAGGAAAATGATACATTAAACTTTTAAGGGGCATCACTTGAAATCTAGTCAATTTAAATTTCTTTTCTTAAAATTGCTTCAGATACACCTGCCCCAAATCCCTCCTCGTTTTTATGTCTTGAGCATTACTTTTTTCAAGACTTCTTACTGGTGGCTTTTCTTATTCCTGTTGCTGTGTGAAAGACCCAAAATAAAGGAGTCTAACTGATTATACAGAGGTAACAGGGAAACTGACTAACCAAAAGTGTCAAATATAAAGTAAACTGGAAAAAATAGAAATACTTGCTTCTCAATTTCTAATTATGGTGATCGTGGCTGTTACTTGTAACAATGGTATGTTTTCACATAAAAAAAAACAGCGAGAGGAGAAGGGACAAAAGTTGCAGAACTCTTTAAATGTCTGATTCCAAATCTCTCTTGTGTGTGGAACAAACACCCATTAACTTCAATAGGAATTGTTAATGAAATGGCTACAGAAATGGGAACCTAAATTATTAGCCTTTCTGTATCCTCCTTGCAGATTTATTCCCAGAATGCTTACCAGTGCAATCATCCAGCTGGATCTGAGCAAACTTAACACTATTCTAACCCAAAGGAATGCTGCTAGAAATGGAATTATTTTGAAACCTACATACATGTAGTATTCTAGTAATATTAGTTATCAGGATATTTTATGGTATAATTTGTGCTAGTTGCTGTGTAACTGCCATTATTTTCAGTGACTGCCTTAACGCTTTATTATGAGAATATTATGAAATTTTCATTAGTGTAAGAGAAGACTTTAAAATAAGGGTAGGGAAAGAAGTCTGAGATTTGCTAGATATTTTTTTCTCTTGGGTGTACATATCACCTCATCCTCTTCTTTTTATGGTAGAGATGCAGGTCACAAATGTCCAGTAGACAATGAAATTCTACTCGAAAACCAACTCTTCCCTGACAACTTTGCCAAACGGGAAATCCTCTCACTGAAGGTGAGATGTCCCAACAAGGGCTGTCTTCTAAAGATGGAGCTGAGACATCTAGAGGTAAGGATCATTGAAAAATGAAAAATAGTTTCCCATTTTGAAATGTTAAAAAAATCTCCAAAATGACTCTCTGTAGATGGTCTTCATCTTATTGGTGGTTGTGGTTTCAAATCCACTGTTCGTTTGATCAAGGCTGGTTCTGTTTCTCTAATTGAAAGAAATAAGTGGCTGATCTTAGTTACCTTAGCCCAAGCCATATGTCACAGCTTGCATACAGCAAACGATAGTGCCTATAATGTTAATAGTGGTATTAGTTTAATCTTTTTAGTCTCCCTTTGTCCTGTCTTTGTCACATGTAATTTTGACCAACCATATGCTATAAATGAGAGCTTTCTATATCCAGTGTCCAAAATGCCAGTTTATACTTGCTCAAAGCAATCTGAATAAAATATAAACAATTTTTAAGTAGTCCTAGAAGTTGTCCAATTAGTGAGTGTGTTAAGTTGTAAAAGGTAGCCATATGATGACTCTGCACAAACATTAATACTGAAGAGCTTTGAATTTATAGTCCTGTTCAAACCCTGGTTCTGCTATGGAGCTCTTCCGTATGGACTGCAATTAAAGTCATTGAGGTTCTGGGTTTAAGGGCTTATGCAGGCAAATCCTTTTGCAGGATTGGGGCGTGAAAGAAAATTGAAGTTGCCAGTTGTATTCCTCTTGGAGCCATTTTGCTCCATCTTGGAGATGTATGAGTAGCTGGGACCTGGAGCACTTTTTGGGGCTTCTAATACCACATCCTCTTGTTGCTGTTATGCAGGAGCATCAGTTGAATTGTGACTTCTGCTCTGTGGAATGCCCACAATGCCAGGGCTCCTTCCAGAAGAACCAGCTGCAAAACCACATGACACTGGAATGCCCACGGCGGCAGGTCTGCTGTCCAAACTGTGCCACATCTATGGCTTATGAAGATAAAGAGGCACGTGCTGAAAAATATTAGAGTGGATGAAAAATACTGTAACATTTGTCCTCAATTGTTAATGCAATATCAATGAAGGGTGTTCATCAGGATAGTAAATTGATCCAGAAACAGCTTCTGTGCTGCTGTGTTGGACATTAGGAGGTTGTGACCTCCAGATTGTCCTCTCTTGGGCAGGTGAAGACTAGCTCCCCCTTTTTTTTGGGTCAAGATGGGGTCATGCTTGGTTAAACCTTTTTTGGAGACCCTGTGGTGCATAGGGAGGTGAAAGAGTTGGCATAAGAGGGACCTTTAATTTTGACCTTACAAAGAGAGATGGCAGCATTAGCATCCCACAATGACCTTAAAAAGAAAAGGGGGAGGGGCTAGAATAACAGGATAGGACAAAAGTACTGCTGTATGGCGGGCTTTCTTGCTCTGCTCACAAACCCGTTACCTGCTGGAAACATGGATGGGTGCAGAGAGGGAGAGCTGTGCTCCAATGCCTAAATCTCTCCTTCGAACAAGAAAGTTGGAGCAAAACTTCTGGATTCTGTTCTTCGCTCTGATTCTGACTCCTGGGTGACCTTGAGTATCTGGCTTCTGTGTTTTGAGCTTTCATTTCCTTATCTCTATAGATAGACATAATCTATCGTATATTAGGCTTATCTGAAAAGCACTTCAAAATGTGCCATTAAAAATTCCCACATTAATGCACATCATGTTTGTGACCCTTTTGACCCTTTTTGTCAAATGTTAAGACTTCTTAATATTAATGAATATATTAATTGCACAAGAAAATTCTTTAAAATGTGTACATCCTTAATACAATTAATTAAACCTAAACTTCACAAATGTCTTGGGCAACTTCAGAATCAGAATTTTGTCGTATCAGAAATAGGACTTATCACTGAATTTCTCATGAGACAAGAATAAAATTCAGAAAGTGAAAAGACTCATTCAGGAATCAGAATGGGGGTACTTTCCCGTTTAAATCCAACAAGATACAAAGCTTGAGACTTAAAAAATAAATTATCAAGAATTTTCCATAGACATCTAGAACACAGGCTAATCAGTACTCCCTTCTCTTTTAATAATCATTTAATTGTTACTAATAGTTCTCATTTTCTTTCTCACCTTTTCAAAAAATGAAGCTTCATGACCAGAACTGTCCACTTGCAAATGTGTTTTGTGAATATTGCAATACAGTGCTCATCAGAGAACAGGTAAGAGCCTACCTTTTTGCCATATGGCTGCCTGTCAGGTTGGAGTGCATCCTAAATAATATTTAACCTATCTAGCTGCAAACATTTTAAGATTTTATGGTAACCCATGTAAGTGTCTGAGCGCTCACATGTCAAACTTCCTCTAAATCTGGGGTTCTCAACCTTTTCCCTTCTGAGATCCCCCCAGCATTCTATAAAAACTCCATGTCCACCGGTGCCACAATAAATGCTTTTCTCCATATAAAAGCCATGGCTGTCGTTAAGGGGTAAAAAGCAGAGCAGTTGCCTGGGGCCTTCTTGGCCCATGCCACTTCCTACAACCCCCATTGGCCTGGAACGGCGAACCACAGCCAATGGGAGCTGCAATCGGCCAAACCTGTAGACGCCGCTGGTAAACAAACAGTCCTGGCCCATCAGCGGATTTCCCTGATGGGCTGCATGCCAAAGGTTGCTGATCCCTGCTCTAGGTCAACATAGCTAATCCCTTTCCTGGAGTCTCAAATTTATGGCGAATAATAGTTATCAAAGAATATTACACTGGGGTGACTTGCAGTGATGTTGCTGCGTTACCTTGCAATAATTTACTAAATGGCCTTTAACACTTAGTGCCTATTCAGGTGCAAATTAGTGGTGTGTGGTTGCTCATTATTCTATTAAAATGTTTAAATCTGTCGTATTTAAGTATACCCATGTGTTTTGACTGGATCCTGAGAGTTGGAACATTGCTGTGCGCTTAACACACACAGTCGCTAATTCTTTCATCATGTTCTGTGATCGAATGGCATAATTTCATTTCTGAAAAAGAAGACTTGATCTGAAGAGGAGAATGTAAACTATTCATCTTAAAGAAAAATTAATCTTAACTCTCATTTTGGTTTTAGATGCCTAATCATTATGATAATGACTGTCCTACCGCCCCAGTACCATGTACATACAGTGCCTTTGGATGTCCTGAAAAGGTAAATCTTTCTTTTATGCACATCAATACAAAGAACTCTCCTCAGTACCTCTCATCTAATCTATGTCACAAATTTCCCAGGCTTGATTTTTACAGTTTGACTTTCAAAAGCTGCCAGCATTGACCTGACTCAGCTTCTGTTGAAGGTAACGTGAGTTTGATTAGACAAGTGCCCGGGTGCTTTAGCAAAGTCCACCCTAAATCTAATAGTTTTCTGGGGTGGTTTTATTTTGCTGTTCTTACCTGTGTTGATTTTAAGCTTAAATACCAATGTCTTCTGTAACATTGCCTTATGAAAGTTTTTTAAATGCCAGGTATGTAACTCTTGTAGTTTAGGGAAAACAAGTGGCAAATACTTCAAATCCACATGATCCTCAAACTCATGATGTTTGGTGAAACAGTGCTAATTGTGGGGGAAGTTCCGAGTTTTCTAATTACAGTACTTCCTTTTAATGATAAGTTTCTCTCATCTTTAACCGATTGCTCTCCTTGCCTTTCCTGAATACACTGTCATATTCGGGGCTCTGGTGCCGCTACTGCTGTGCAATGTAGGGTATACATTGGTAGAATCTCCTTCCTTAGAGGTTTTTAAGGTCAGGCTTGACAAAGCCCTGGCTGGGATGATTTAACTGGGAATTGGTCCTGCTTCGAGCAGGGGGTTGGACTAGATGACCTTCTGGGGTCCCTTCCAACCCTGATATTCTATGATTCTATACATTGCTGATTGCAAACAGGATAGTAGCAGTATTAAATATATGCAAAGCAGTGGAGGAATTGTTACCTTTTACATCATGATTTTAACAAATCATTTTGACTTAAACGCTATTTGTCTCTACAGGCACCTGAACTGGTTATTTTTCTGAGTTGTCTGATCTTACAGCTGGTCCAAAACAAAGTCCCCTCAGTTGGACTTGACTTGACTTTGTCACATGTCACTTGACTTTTGTCTTCGTTCTTGTTCCAGTTGATCTGTGTTAGCTAAAGCCATTTCTATTATGTACTGTAGTTTATCTTTGAAGCCCAATATTTTGTGGCTTAGTTGCAGGAAATGTTTTTGCTGCTCAAGAGTTTATGATGCCATGTCTTTTTAAATTCTAGATGCAGAGGAATGAGTTGGCACGTCATATGCAAGAGTTCACTCAGGTTCACATGAGAATGATGGCTCAGACTCTCCGGAGTATTAGTGTTACTACAACTCCCATATCCTACCTCAGTGGCCTATCCTTTGAGCCGTCTCTCTTCTCACATGTCCCACCTGCCACATATGACTGCAACCCAGAAGTTGAGAACTTCAAGGAAACCATTCAGCAGTTAGAAGGTCGACTGGTAAGACAAGATCACCAAATCAGAGAACTTATTGCTAAAATGGAGACTCAGAGTGCTCACGTGGGAGACCTCAAACGCACTATCCAAAATCTAGAGGAAAAAATTACTGAAATGGAGGCACAACAATGTAACGGCATTTACATCTGGAAGATTGAGAACTTCAGCACATATCTGAGAGCCCAAGAAGAAGAGAGACCTGTTGTGATCCACAGCTCTGGTTTCTACACTGGGAAACCAGGCTACAAACTGTGTTTGCGCCTACATATCCAGTTACCAAATTCGCAGCGCTGTGCTAACTTTATATCCCTCTTTGTCCATACTATGCAAGGAGAATATGACAGTCATCTGCCTTGGCCATTTCAGGGCACCATACGACTTTCTATTTTGGATCAATCAGAGGGACATGTAAGGCAGAATCACGAAGAAGTCATGGAAGCCAAACCTGAGCTTCTAGCCTTCCAGAGACCGGCAATCCAGCGCAACCCAAAAGGTTTTGGTTATGTGACATTCATGCACCTGCAAGCTTTGAAGCAAAGAACCTATGTAAAAGATGATACCCTCCTGGTGCGCTGTGAGGTTGTAACACGTTTAGACTTGAACAGTGTACGGAGAGAGGGCTTTCAACCTCGCAGTACTGATGGGGCTGTATAGTCTGGTGTGCCCTAACTAAGGGAGCCCCGCACTGCTGTTCTTCCACAACAGATTGGAAGGACAAGGGCAGGAACGAAGAGATTTTCCAGAGGGGAAAAGCTTCATAAGAGCAGTTATCTGGGTTGAACAATGCTATTCTGCAGGCTAATACAGCTGATTTGACTGAATAGAATTTGCTGCCTTTGGTATACAAGATTTTTCCTCTGTTTGTGGGTCATGTATTAAATATTTCTTACTGTTCTCTGTTAATGTATAAAGCTAACTGAGGGAAGTATTGCTGTGTTATCAAAGGTGAAATTCTTCAGTAAGAATTTATTGAAGCAGCTCTTTTCCTACACTGGGGGAGGTTGGGTCAAATTCCACTTCTAGAAGTCTGTGAGAAAGTGGAGCATTGAAGCGGAATGCCCCAGGTGTCCTAAATATGAAAGTATTGGAAAGCCCCTAAAAGGGGCAGGGAGCAGGGGATGAGGATGGGGAAGCACGTGGGAGGAGTGGTGGTCATGTGGGGGTGGTAGAGGATAAAGCAGGGGGATTACCTGGGCTCAGGCTAGCAGTGTCTAGCATAGGGGGACTAAGTGCCAGGGCAAGGCAGGATGAGAGAGAGGTACAACTAGTTCAGGCTGCTCCAGATCACATCTCCCTGGGGAGTTAACGCAGCAGGACCCAGAATCCCTGGGAAGTTTCTCCTGTTTGCTCCTGGGAATTGGCACCTCCCGCTTCTGGCTCCAACTTCAGCTGGTGCTCTGAGACTATCCCCCTCCCTGCCCTTCCTTGAGGGCTAACTAGCAGCTGCCCCCACTGACCACTTTGTATATGCCTGTCTGCCCCTTTGTCCTGTGGGAGCCATTCTGTGCCTGTGCACCTGCCTAAGTTCCTCTGTCTTCCTGATTGACCTCTTGTGCTCCTACCCCATAGACCTTCCTCCCGTTTGTCCTGCTCTCTGCCCATCTACCCTTCAGTCTCAGCTGGTTTGTCCCTTTGTCTGTCCCTCTTTCTCACCTATCACAGCCAGAGGCTTGAAGCACCAGGGCCAAAACTCTGCTGCTGCTGCTCAGGGCTCCTGGCCAGGCCCAGCAGCCTCTTGTCCCTGGGAGCATCTGAGCTGCCCTGCACCTCCTGCCACCATCACTGCTGAGCATCTGCTTTAACTAAAATTGATATGAAGCTGCCAGGAGGCTGCCAGTGGTGGGATAAGCACCCAGTGGCTGGAGCGTGCAAAGCACTTCCCATTATGACCAGCTGCTGCAAGGCAGCAAAAACACTGAGAGAAGCAGGAACATGGCAGGGAGCAGGGGCTGAGCAGAGCAGGGTTGGTGGGCAGACTGGCCCCACATGGGGCGGTGTCATAAGGCTGCTCGCAGGGAGACAGTTCAGAGTGAGGGTTTCCCCTGCTATCTAGAGAGGTGGATCGACTTCATTGCCACAGCTGCTGCTTAATAGTACCAGAATGATGTTCCAGTTTGACTACACCACTGCCCAGGGGGATGCAATGCCCATACTGTAGTGGGAGTGAACTAGCTCAACTATGGAAGGTGCTTTCGTGCTACAGATTCAGGAGATATTCACCTCGGAATATAGACAGTTTCTAAATGGACTTAAATCCAAATGGCAAGAATAGAGGAAGGAAACAAAAGTACAGACTATTTTAGTGCCTTTATAGCTTAGCCAGGGAATGTGCAGCAAGGGAAACTCCAGCACTTTGAATTTACCATGCTCCTTTTGGAATATGAAGTAAGGTTAGGACTTAGTCCACAGTCCCTAGATATCTATTGGGGTCTCTCTATCTTTTTCCTCCCAGGGAATTATGTTCAGGAACATTCAAACAGGAACCCGCATGATGGTGTTGAATCAATCTTGGACTTCTGAAAGCATTCTGCAAAACCCATGCAATACAGCCCCAGAGAAGGCTAAACAAATATTTCTGCTGAATGTGCTGAGATCACAGCAGAAATGCTGATAGAAACTATGGCTTTTAAGCCTTATTTAGGCCTAACTTTTTTTCCCCCCTCTCACAAAATGTGTGTGTTCACCTTGTTTGCAATTGTGTAAAAACATGGCTGACACTCTTCCACTATAACTAAGGTGGTGCTGGATGGGTTAAAGTTCTGCATTGGTAGGGATGCTCTTTGTGGTGCTAGATCATATTAGTGTGAGATGTTCGATGGAGAGGAAGAAGATATATAGTAGGTGGCTCAGGGATCATGGAAACTTTTACCTCTTGGTCATACCTGACTTGTGCCAAACTTACCAGAGATCTAAAATCATTCCTGTCAAACGGCACCGTGTGAAATGTGGTGGAGCATCTGTCACTAGTTCTCAATAGACATTTGTCTACATAGTGCCCAAAGTGATGGCGGCTTGTTGAACTAGAGAGCTCTGGGGCATAGTAGGTTAGCCACCCTCACCACCTAGAAAAGAACAGGATGGTAGCCCGCTAATAGGGCAGTGTTGGTGAACTTGCATTGCTATGTGTCCTTATAATAAACAAGCACATTCTAGTTTCTATAGTGTCCTCTTTCACAAATACTGCATTGACTTAAAACAAAAACAAAACTTTGGAGATTCCTGTGCCTATTTCTTGGCTTTTCTAGACTGATTGTCTACATCCCATGTTAATGTTGTAGTCTGGCGCATTAGAAGCGGGTTAGTCCAAACTCACTGCTGCTAATAGAAAAATAATGGATTTTAATGTATAGAATTATTTTCAACTCTACAGTATCTTCAGGTTTGTATATAAACACAGATTACTTTTTTAAAGCACAAAAAAAAAGCCTGATTTGTCCTGCTACCAGTGGTAGGCATATAGACAATCTGATACAGAAAATATGGAACCAGGCCATGCATAAATGTATGAATATCTCCCCAGTCAGCATGGAGCATTTTTCTGAGTTGAGAAGCTGGCAAGTGGGGTTTGCCTCACCTCTAGTTGTGTAAATATTGCTACGGGGCAGCCCAAGTGTCGGTCCCCTTCTAAGCAGCCCAACAAGGACCAACAACAGGGAGGGAGGACAGTTAAGACGCACAGGCCTGGTCTGTTACAAACTTCATTGTCGGAGCACCACGTTAGAACAGGTTTCTTTGTTTGTTTGTTTTTGCCCACATGCAGGGGATCAGAAATGTCCTAGGCCCTGGAAGGCCTCCGTTTTCATGGCACCCCAGCCTACTAAACTCAGTAATGTGAATGGAGTGTGGGAGAGAATGTTCTTTTGCAGGCTGAGTGGCTGTACTCTGCACATCTAGACCACCTTCTCCATGGAAAATACTGACAAACGTGAGCACAGACTTGTTTGAATTGAGTCACTGCATGTATGGGGTTTGCTGCTTAAGGGACAAAGTCTGTTCTTGCCCATCATGTTACCAAACGGTTTAGCAGGAACCGTATTAAGACAAAGTTGAAGCATTCTTAACGCTAGGCTTTGATTGTGCTTCACAGTGCCGAGGTCAGGGCAGGCGAGCTCTGGCACGCCTGCCACAGGCGGCACGCAAGCTGATCTTCAGTGGCACTCACGCTGCCCGGGTCCTGGCCACCGGTCCGGGGGGCTCTGCATTTTAATTTAACTTTAAATGAAGCTTCTTAAGCATTTTAAAAACCTTGTTTACATACAACAATAGTTTATATATTATAGACTTCTAGAAAGAGACCTTCGAAAAACGTTAAAATGGATTTCTGGCACGCAAAACCTTAAATTAGAGTGACTAAATGAAGACTCGGCACACCACTTCTGAAAGGATGCCAACCCCTGGCCTATGTCATATACATGTGTAAAGCATTTTTTGGTGTTGCATCGTCACTGACACATATACCAATTCTCCGCTTCCTTTTCAGACGGTCGTTCTTTTCCAAGGACGGACTTGCTTCTCACATTCCTCCTCTCTTTATTGTGTAGGAAATAAAATCAGATTCTCTTTCTGGGGACAGAGGGAGAAAGGAGGGGTAACTTCTAACTGATTCAGGTACCTCTTACTGCCTCTATCCCCCTCTTCCACGTAAATTGTACAGTGCATCCTTTTAAAAAGCCATCTGCCTGTCCTGTATGTACGGGTCTTTTGAAGTGCCGACTTAACACCTATAGGAGTTCCATTTTCATTACCCTTTCAAAAGCCTTAAGATTTGTTGTTACAAAAGTCCGTCAATTCCCAGGCACAGCTATCTGCTTTTTAAAAATCTCAACCCAGTCTACTTTTGACTTGAAATGAACTTCAGCGTGGTGGCAGCCCTGTAGTATACATAAGATTTTATTTATTTAAATTGGGATAATGTAAAATAGCACAGCCTAATAGGAAATAGAGAAGTTGGTGCAGGTTACATATTTTTTTTTCTGCCAGTGTGAAACATTAATAGTTTTAGCTGCTGGTGATATTGTATCTATTGTGTACTTATTAAAGGGTTCACTATGGAATTCTAAGCCAGTGCCAAGCTGATTTAACCACAAAGCTTACGTGGGAGACTTTCTGAGCTGATACGTTGAATATCAGCCAAATGTATTCTGTCTTACTAACCTGATGTACTTATCTATGCAGACCTCACTCAACTACTTTTTTTTTTTTCAAATTATCTTTGCTACCAGTGCAGTTCCAGAATTGTCTGTCACATCACACATGTGGGAATGTAATTTCAGCTGGTGGAAAGAAATTTGTAGAATTTAAATGCTGGATTGAGTTGCCATCCAGATACGTACATTCTCAGTTGTTAATGTTATATTATTTAATCTCTCTTTGAGGTTGGCATTGTTTGAGAGTTCAATTTCCATGATAAAATACAGCTTTATAGTGTATGTGCTTCACCTTTTCCCCTAGAAGTCTGTTTTTCTTCTCTTTTTAGAAATCATTATGCTATGACGGTTGAAGAATGATCTTGAAAAATACTTAAAAGGAGAATGGATTATGGATCACAACTGCCACAGATTTATGAAAATTTCTGGAATAAAGCAATCTAAAACAAATGTGGAGTTGCAATGATTAGCCTAGTTTCCAACTGTTAACTTTTTAAGGGAAATGCTGAATTTAGGTTTTGTGTACAGTTCTTTCTCTGTGACTCTTGGTGCTTTTGCAATATTGTGTGTGTATTTATGTATATATAATCAAATCTTATGTTTAGAAGCTAGATTACTTTCCTCTTCTATTTTTTAAATCAAATTTCTGTTACCTGTGTCAAACAGTCTTAGAATAATGAAATTGTAGGACTGAAAGGGACCTCAAAAGATCTTCTAGCCCAGTCCCCTATTTTCCCCCTTAGACTTGCTTCCTATGGGATCTTACCTACCAACTCCCTGAGTTTGCTAAAGTCTGCCTTCTTAAAATCCATTATCTTTATTGTGCTGTTTTCCCTCCTAACATTCTTTAGAATTACGAACTCTACCATTTCATGATCACTTTTACCCAAACTGCTTTCCACTTTCAAATGCTCAGCCAGTTCCTCCATATTTGTCAAAATCAAAGCTGGAACAGCCTCTCCCCTAGTAGTTTTCTCTATCTTCTGAAATAAAAAAATCTCTTAATACATTCCAAGAACTTGTTGGATAATCTGTGCCCTGTTGTGTTATGTTCCTGACAGATGTTTGGGTAGTGAAGTCCCCCATCACCACCAAGTCCTATGTTTTGGATGATTTTGTTAGTTTAAAAAAAAGTTTTACCAACCCCTTCTTCCTGGTTAGATGGTCTGTAGTAAATCTTTGCCATGACATCACTCTTGTTTTTTATCCCTTTTATCCTTTCCAGGAGACTTTCAACAAATCCGTACCCTATTTCCAAGTGTGTACATTTAATATATACACAAAGCAATATCGCCTCCTTTTTTCACCTGCCTGGCCTTCCTCAGCAATCTGTACCCTTCTGTACCAATACACCAGTCATGTAGTATCCCACCAAGACTATGATGCCAAGTATGTCAGAGCTGTTTTCAATAACTAGCTTTTCTAGTTCTTCCTGCTTATTCCCTATACTTCTTACATTAGTGTACAGACATCTAAGATACTTATTTGATTTTTCCTCCCACACACACACACACACACACATTGTTCTCTCTTGTCTCTTCCTTATCCCAGCTATGTATTCTTTATGTAGGCGTATACTTGCAAGGTTACTGTTCTCAGAATTCTCTGAGTATAATATATTGCATATGGGACTCCTTTTTAGTTCAGTGTCCCCCTGCAGGGCAGGGGGAGTAACTCTTTAAAAATTGTCAGCAGGCAATTAAATTTGTGAGATGGAAAAACTCATTCTCTGGGCTAGGTAGCAAGTGGTCCTACCTATTGAATAATTTAAATCTGGTAGTAAACAAAATGGTTGGCCTTTGTTTGCCTTACTAGAAGACATTCTTTTTCTCATCAAATGTGCACTAGTGGTTTGGTACACAACAAGTACTCTAGTCAGTGTTATTGAAGATACGCTCTGATCTGCATTTGAACACAATGCACACTCTGCTGATTTCACTAATGTATCAATAGATTAATATATTTTGTAACTAATGCACAAGCTTATTTCATTCAAACAACTTTTTTAAAATAAACTCATTAAACTTTTCCAGTACTAATTGTGTATTTTTCTCATGCCTTGGGCATCCTTTTTCTGATGTGGGTTGAGCTATGAAAAAAATTATGGTCAGCCCTACTTTAGGAAATTCGTTTTAGCCCAGGATATTTTGCCTATAGGTTAAAGGTTAAAGTGAGCCTGTCTTAGGCTTAGTGATAAGTACTTCAACTGCAGAGACCCAGCTCAGAGAGATCATGGAGATTGGTTCATTATGCGGAGCCTTGACACCAAACTTCAAAGTGGACACAGCCTGTTTGCTTTATGCTTTGCTCAGACCAGTGCTCCTAATCTCTGCATGAATGCTAAATTTCCTCAGCTTTATTTCGAGATGGGTGCGGGAGAGTGTTCTATTTTCAACATTTTAAAATACTAAAATGGTTCTAAAGTTTGTCCTCTTTGGAAGAATGCATCTGTCTTTGAGTCTTAGAAACTGTTAACAAAAAAGTACTGATTACTATGAATGTAGTATTTAATGTGACATTATCTGTGTAATTGTAAATGATCATATACCTAGAAAGCCAGTCGTCATCAAACTGTAATAAAAAGGGGAGGTCAAATTTGCTTATTACAGAAACGGGGTTCCAGATACCTTCATCTGTTGCATTAATTCCTTTGCCCATCCTTGAAAGTGTGTAATAATATACCTTTAGGTAGATGGAAGAGAAATATGATCACTTTTTGCAGTAAAATATTATGCATGCATCTGTGTCTAGCCATTTTTTGGGTAAAGAGACAGGCAGTTACATGTGCATATTCCCTAGCCTGTGTGCAAATAATGTTTATGCACCCACATTGTGTATATGCAGGCCTCTGCCCTCAGTCTTGGCCCAAAGGTGCTTTCTAAAGCAGAAACTCATTTGTGTTTTTTTACTGTCCAAACCTTGAATTATGGAGTCCTCCCCTACCCAGTTTGCTATTCTTGCTAATCCATAAACCAATATAACCTGCAGCTCTCTGAGCTGTAGGGGGTAGCATATGGTGACTTCAGCTCAGCTGTTGGAGAGGCTGGAGCTGGTGCCTACTTGCTTTCTGTCAAAATAAGGTCTTTAACTGAAGCCCCAGAGCTAGCTGCTTTTTGGTGTTAGTTATTCGGTTACCACATGCCAAGGAGTTTGATGCTGTGCAGGCTCCAGTTCTTGTTCTGTGACCCACTTTGCCATGTAACTGTCAAATGAGTTGGATGAAAGGAACTATATAATTTCTAAACTGATTAGATATTATAAAGGGATTATTTAGCCTGTTACTGAACCTGTGAGCAGCATACAGAAGGTCAGGAAGTGCCACTAGTGTACTTGTGTAGCATCAGTTCTTCTGCAGAATTTACAGTAGTCATAGCATAACACTCACTCTGGAGACCCAGCAGCTTCTACCTTAGATTGTTGTTGCTTTTATAGGCTCACAGTTTGTGGGCTTCACAGAAGAAGTGCATTGGAAGGATGAAAAGTAATGGGCCTGTGTGGGAGGATGGGTGTTTCCACCACATCTGAATGAACACCTTCAGCAAAGTGCCATCCAATTCAATACTTTATGTACACCTACTGCTTTGACATCTGTTCCTGTATGTTTTTAAGTTACCCTTGTGAGTTTCTCATCTCAGTATTACCAGTATCACCCTACTTAGATTGAGACCTGGCTAGGTAATAGCCTGTTGTGATATGGATGTACGCTCTACTTGAACATTGTTTGGTAGTTTGCCATGACAGTCTATTCTCCCTTGAAAGCTTGGAGCAGTAATATGCATAAATACTCTTGTGATTCATCAGTTACAGGGTGTTCACAGCTGCAGACAATCCATTAAATTCCCCCACTTTCTGCTCACTCAAAAATGAGTGAAGCCCTGCTACGAGAATACATTAGCTCTGAAAAATGTGAATCCTCTATTGCCTACAACTGCCGCTGTTCTGCTTTCCCCAGCATAGTGAAGATGCCTTCCATGTTAATTTCTTTGTTAACCATCTATTGCAGTGGTTCTTAACCTCTGGTCTTTGGACTAGGTCTAAAGGGTCTGCAAAAAACTTAAGCCTGAAAACTGACTGAACGTAAGTCAACTATATGAACAGACAAAACCAAGGGGTCCGCTCCTCTATTTTTAAATTTTTTTAGGGGTCGGCAAATGAAAAAAAGGTTAATACCCACTGATCTATTGCTTTCTCAATAGACTAAAAGAAATGGACAAGAGTCTTAACTTCATTGGTTGCTGCTTGGAGATGCCATTAGCTGAAGCACTGGAGTTTTCCAAAGACTCGGAAAGTTCTGACACTGCAGCAGGACTGTGTTCGGTAGCTTTTCTTTACTACCATGAGAACTAGATGCTCTTCTTTGTGGATGCTTGCAAAGTTTGGAGAGAGAAGGAGTTACGTTTGTTTTTTATAAATGTCCTTTTGCCCACAGGTTATCTGCTAACCTACCTGACTGCCAGCATTCAGTCAATAGTGGAGGGGAAAGCAAATAGAAAACCAAATAATGGCAAAGATAAGACACCTGGCAATGAACAGCTACAGAGGAGTTAAGATAACAAAGGCTGGGCCATTGATTGGGAAGAAGCCACCTGCTTGGCTCCCAACAGGCTGGCATAGTTTCCTCTTCCAAAACCTGACAGCCTAGGATTAAATGGAACTATAAACCTTTAAAGATGCTGGCCTTGGGAAGGAGTGGGGGATTGCCAAGTGAGTCAGTGACTGTTGTCAGGCTTGCAAGAAGACTGTTTCTCCCAGCCAGAGCTGGGTTTACCTGAGCTATGACTAGAGAGGTTAATCTTAGTAAGGAAATGTGTGTAGGACTCTGTGTTAACCCATTTTCCTAAATGCTGTTTCCTTGAGCAATTAAATACTACTATGTTTTGATGATGCTGTTTTTGAGTCACTTTAATCAGCTGCTGTTACAGGTGCCCAACCCAGTCGGGCCTGTTGGAATAACATGGTTCTGTAAACAAGGGGCTGCAGCCCAGGGACCCAGTCTGAATGGTTGGAGTATGTGGTTCCACCCAGAGTGAGGCACAGGATGGTGCACTCCAGTGACCAAAAGAACTCTATGGCACAGCTCACCTGGTAACCATGATACATGTTCTGCAGAAATGTATGCTTTCCGCCACTAGAGTGCCTCCAATAAATCCCATTCCTCAATCTCAAGTAGAGGAGTGGATTCTTTCAAACCCTGGGATAGTATGTGGGGGCTTGTCATAAATGTAAAGGGAAGGGTAACCACCTTTTTTTATACAGTGCTATAAAATCCCTTCTGGCCAGAAGCAAAACCCTTTCACCTGTAAAGGGTTAAGAAGCGAAGATAACCTCACTGGCACCTGACCCAAAATGACCAATGAGGAGACAAGATACTTTCAAAGCTGCAGGGCGGGGAAAACAATGGGTCGGTCTGTCTGTGTGATGCTTTTGCCGGGAATAGATCAGGAATGCTCTTCAGAACTCCTTAAGTTAGTAAGTAAGCTAGCTAGAAATGTGTTAGATTTCCTTTTGTTTAATGGCTGGTAAAATAATCTGCGCCGGGTGGAATGTATATTCCTGTTTTGTGTCTTTTTGTAACTTAAGGTTTTGCCTAGAGGGATTCTCTATGTTTTGAATCTGATTACCCTGTAAGGTATTTACCATCCTGATTGTACAGAGGTGATTCTTTTGCTTTTTCTTTAATTAAAATTCTTCTTTTAAGAACCTGATTGCTTTTTCATTGTTATCACGATCCAACGGTTTGGGTCTGTGTTCACCTATGCAAATTGGTCAGGATTTTTATCAAGCCTTCCCCAGGAAAAGGGGTGTAGGGCTTGGGGGGATATTTTGCAGGGAAGACGTCTCCAAGTGGGCTCTTTCCCTGTTCTTTGTTTAACACGCCTGGTGGTGGCAGCATAGGGTTCAAGGACAAGGCAAAGTTTGTACCTTGGAAGTTTTTAACCTAAGATGGTAAGAATAAGCTTAGGGGGTCTTTCCCCACATCTGTACCCTAGAGTTCAGAGTGGGGAGGGAACCCTGACAGGGCTCAACACTTCTATTTTGGGCTGTTTTCTTTCCTGCTTGCTAGTGTTTGTTTCCCACACAACAGGTTTGTTTCTATTGCATCCTTTTACATAAGAGAAATAGTTCAGGCTGGCAGCTGTTCTTTAATTCTCCTTAAAACAAGATCAGCCCTCCTAGGGTCTATGGCACCCCACTGGAAACGTGGATGTTACGTACGGTTTTAGTATCTTAATGTAATTTGTAAACTTAAGCAAACAATGTGATTCACTCAGCAAATGTGATTCACTCAGCTCCAACCTGAACTAGCTTTGAATTCTGTTGTTCAAACCTCTGATGTTCTGTGTTTCTCCTTCAATTTTCCAGAAAAGGAAGTGAATAAATAGACATTTAAAGCTACAGACCTCCACACATTTTTCTGTGTTCCATCTACCTGCTGCTTCTCACCTTTGGGTTTAGGACCTATGCACAGAATTCACTGACCCTTCCCTTGGGTCCTCTTAAGGAATAAAAACCTTATATCTAATAATATTTACTTTACACTTTCTATCCCAGGATCTCAGTGCTTTGCACAGGAGGGTAACATCAGTGTCAGTAGTTTACTGACTGGAAAATGGAGGCATAAAGAGGAAAAGTGACTTGCCCAAGGTCACAAACCAACTCAATGGCAGGGCTGGAAACAGCCTTGGCTGACTCCCTGGATTCCAACACTCTGTTTGCTGCGAACCTACCAGAGGTAGGGTAGGCAGTCATATTTAGACTTCGCATAAAGGGCAGGTCTGTTCTGAAGAGTGATTTTTTTGGTAAAAAAGGCATCCGAGGGTTCCATATTTGTTGTGTGTCTGACTCCAGGGCAAATCTACTCAGTGTGCAAGTAAAACAAAATCCTTTCAAAACTCCAGCCTGATGTCCTCAACCTAGACTCAGAAAATCTAGCTGGATTTCTTCCACTAGCACCTCTAATAAAGATACTTCTTGTATCTGTCCACATGGATCCCAGTCTTGGTTCACATGCACTGCATGTATGTGAG